TTACATTATCATTACTACTTGACATATTCTTATTTAATAAGACAATACTTTTTTGGAAAAAACACAAAATAAAATAAAATTAAAAAAACACTAAAAAGAAAAAAAAACATGACTATGATACATGAGTTGCGGTTATTAGTATTGTTTTAATGGAAAAAACTAAATTGCATCACATTTTCAAAAATGATGACCAATTGAAACCAATTAAAATCTAGTGACCTAATTGAAATTTTTGAACAAATGCGATGACCAACCGAAGATTTAAACCTTATTTTGTTCCTTTTATATGTTATCTAGACTGATTTGGGACTATTGTGGTATGAATTTATGAATTTTATGCAGGTTTGTATGTGGTACGTAACACATAGAAACATACTATTAAAAAAAAGGCTTAATATCACTATTGGTTCCAATTTTTGTTAGCTTTGTTCGAAATGGTCATAATTTTTTTAAAATGTTCAATGTAGTCCTAAAGATCGTAATTTGTGTTCAATTTAGTCCTTATTGCAAACGCCGTTTAAATTGTTAACGGTCAAATGTCTAGTTGTGCAATCAGTGACACATCACTCTTGACACGTCATCATCATCTCCTACCTCCAAAAACTCTAATTTATCCCTACACATAAACCTAGCCACTACCTAACCCTAATCGTCGCCGCCACGCTCACGGCCAGCCACCATCTTCACACCTCCATCATCAAACATTTTCGAAACCTTAACTAAATGGTCGTGCCACCACCACTGTTGTTCATCTTCTCTGTTCAGCAACTACCCAGAAACACCACCATGACCATCTTCCCCTTCCTCCACCATGAATCGCCATCAACGTCTTGTCGTAAAAACCATGATTGTCGCAACGAGACAGCGAGCCATGCACAAGCTCATCTTCTTCGTCAAGTCTTCAACCTACAAAGGGAAATACAAAGAACAAAAAAGTTAATTGGAGCATAATCGCCGCCGAAAAGCGCCATTCTCCATCAATCTTCATATTCTCCAGTCATCGCAAAGCTACTCTTCGAATCTGCAAGTAGAAAGAAACCAAATCGCAGACAAGCAACCATGAGCCAGATTCGCATCGTGACGCTCCTGCATTTCGAAACCCATTCAATTTTCGCAGCGCAGGCATAAGGAAGCCTTTCCCCCTTGCATTTAGAAACCCTAATTTTTTGGGTGGGGAAGGGGCTGCCACGTGGTAGTCTCTCACTGGCTGTGCCATGTTTCAGTCAAGGTAGGTCAACAGTTAATTGACATGTCATTCATTGATTTAACGATTTAAATGGCGTTTGCAAAAATGACTTAGTTGAACAGAAATTACGATGTTTAGAACCACATTGAACATTTAAAAAAATTAGGACCATTTCGAACAAGCTAACAAAAATTGGGACCAACATTGGTATTAAGCCTAAAAGAAACAAAACTTTTTAAAAAGTGATATTCTATATAGGTTAATACTCCAACGATATAATAAACTTCACTTTTTATACTAATTTTAACTGATATAAAAAAGTGAAACTTCTTATACCAGTTGGAGCATTAACCGATATATAATATTAAACTTTTTATATCAGTTAGTTGTAGAATGGATTATATAAGAATTTATACCTCTTCTAGTGAACTTTTTATACCGATTTCAAAATGAGTATAAAAAGTTAAATACTCTTTATACCCCTTAATTTTACAATGGTTCAAAATTCGGTATAAAAAATCTTTTTAATTGGTATGAAAGACTTTTTTGCGGTAGTAACCAAAAACGTACTAGCTAATTGACTGAATTAAAAGAACTTAACAAAAATTAACTAATCAACGTAAAATATCCTATAAATTATTATTTTTCATTAGTTAATTAGATTCATAAAAGTAAATAAAAAAGTAAAATAACTTATTATTTAATTTATTTTCTATAAGTTAAAACTAAATAAATTTTAAAACAAAATAGAGCAACAAATCCTTTCAGTTCCACTTGGCATCATATGGAACTAACATAGAAAACACGATTTTAAAATGTGTCGAACAGGAATAAAATAGCAGAAAATTCTGAAGGAACTTTACATACATAAATAAATTGGTCGATAAATTTAAATTAGCAACGAATTTAATCAATAATTTTAAAATTTTAATTACAAACAAATATATTTTGATTTTTAAAATTTGTCGGTAAAATAAATTTCAATTATCTACCTATTTTATCGACGAAGAATTCATGATGATTTAATTTTTTTATTAACAAAGTATTGATCTATCGATAAATGTGTCAATTAACAAAGTAATTGAAATTTGAAGTTTGGTTTATGTATGTAGTGAAGGATTGATTTCCCCTGTTAAAACAAAATCCCGTTGATATGTAATAACCATTATAACAATAATTCACTATGGTTGAATTATTATAGTACAGTTGTTGACATGATGCATTATTTTAACTAACCTTGATTACAATACATGACTGTAGCATCGACAATTCCTTCCTAAATATCTTTATTTAGTGTCAATGCTTTATTTTACTTGCTGATAAATCTATCCAATCGTAAAGTTTACTGAAAAAAGAAACTGAACTACAGTATTGAAATATTATTTAAATGGTTATTAATCATGTTTTTACTAATGACATATTTAAACGAATGATAACAAATAAAAATAAAAGAGGAAATTAAAAAAAATGATGGATTTTAACTGGGTTTACGTGGTTAGTTAGATTAATTGCAACCGTCCAGTTAAAAGAGGAAATTAAAAAAGGTACTTTTATATACGGTTGCAGCACTGTTCACAACTACAGATAGATATGTAATTGCATCCATTTGAAGAAGCCATTTTGTTTCGTTTGGTTGAGAAACTTCCTTAGGCATAAATTGGGGACGCGCAAGTATCATCCACCCTAATAACCACTTGGAACCTGTAAAGCAGATCAATTAACAGAGCTGAAAATGGCCGTTGGGGGATTCACGGAGAATGCACTGCCGACTGCCTTCCACGGCGACAAGATAACACTCTCTGTTCTCATAACGTGTATCGTTGCTGCCTCTAGTGGACTCATTTTTGGATATGACGTTGGAGTTTCAGGTTTTTCTTCTTTTCGTGATGTGATTTGTGAAGGACTCACTCTTTTTCATATCTTCTATTATTAGATTGTTATTTTATTGAATAATAAGACTATTCATATAAATTTAATTAATGATAAAATATATTCAAATTTGGTATAGGAATGAATAATTATAGCACCAGGTATAATGTTATTTTACTGACAATGTGTTCTGAACTATAATAATTAAGAATATTTTGATAAAAATAATTAATATATGAAATAAAAAAAAGAAAAAGTCTTATAAAAAAAGGTTATGACGATTTTCAAAACAATATCCTACTTTTAGAGATGAATAGAGTATATAAATTATCTTGCTCATAAAATACTTAATAAGGAAACAAGAAATAAGAGAGAAATTAGGTATACGAGAAAATATAATATATTCATACATGATAATGATACGTGTTTTTTTTATTGAAAAAAAAAGAAAAAATAAACGAGAAGTTGCTATTTACCCACATAGTATTCTTGAACAAGTTCCACAGTTTCTTAGTATTTCTTATGTATTATTGCAACCAATAAAACCGATGTCCTGCGCAATTTAATTTCATCTTTGGTTCTCGTCCACACCTCTCAGTCGAACCAAAATAGTAAATCTACGTTTCTAGTTTCATCACTTTTTAATCTACATCCATTTAAGAATTACTTTTCATAATAAAATCTTATAATAAGATAATAATAATAATAGGCATAAATAAAATAATTTATGAAATTATAATTTAAGTGTAAGAGAAAAATGAACCAATTTTAGTTTGGAATAAAAAAAGTCCCATAAAACAGACTTTTTCTCAGTAGTAATTTATATAAAGTTGAGAGTGAATTTACCGAGAATGTTATGTAATTTCAGGAGGTGTAACAACGATGGTACCATTTCTTAGGAAGTTCTTTCCATCAATTCTACGAAATGCATCCGATGCGGAAGTAAATATGTATTGTGTGTATGACAGTGAATTGTTAACATTATTCACGTCTTCTCTCTATCTTGCTGGTTTGGTGTCATCTCTGGCAGCTAGTCGAGTAACAACAAAGTTTGGCCGAAGAAACACCATCATCTTGGGTGGGGCCATCTTTCTTGCTGGTGCTGCACTTAATGGAGCCGCACAAAATATTCTTAAGCTCATACTTGGTCGTATCCTTCTTGGCCTCGGACTTGGCTTTACTAATCAGGTTAGCTTTAACAGTTTTATCTGTCTCTACAATTTCAAAGTTCTTAATAATAGGTAAAAACATGATTAACCGTACGCATGGTGTGGTATGAATTTGGAAAAGGCTGCGCCACTATACCTTTCCGAAATCGCACCACCCAAATGGCGAGGTGCCTTCAACACAGGCTTTGAATTTTTCCTTGGAATTGGAGTGCTTGCCGCCGGCTGCATAAACTACGCCACGGCAAAGTACACCTGGGGGTGGCGGCTCTCTCTCGGCCTCGCCGTGGTGCCTGCTGCAGTTATTACAGTTGGTGGCTTTCTCATAACTGACACCCCGAGCAGCTTGGTTGAACTTGGAAAGATAGACCAAGCCAGAAAAGCCTTGCGCAAAGTAAGAGGTTCCCACGTTGATGTTGAACCGGAGTTGGAGGAGCTTATCAACTGGTCACGGAATGTGAATTCTGTGGAGCAGGAGCCCTTTATGACTGTATTTGAGAGGAAGTATCGACCTCACTTGGTCATGGCTGTTGCTATCCCACTTTTTCAGCAGCTTACGGGCATCCACATCGTCGCATTCTACTCACCTAACCTTTTTCAGTCCGTGGGATTGGGACACAGTGCAGCTTTACTTTCTAGCATAGTCTTTGGACTTGTCAACCTTGTTTCCATCATCGTCTCAACTTTTTTTGTTGATCAGTTTGGTAGAAGATTCTTATTCATTACTGGTGGAATTGTCATGCTTGTCTGTCAGGTAAGTAAATATAAAGCATTATTTTGTCATAATTCTATATTAGAATACTATATAAATAAAATTTCGCTTTAATATTAATTTTGAGTTCTCACGTTGCATAATTGCTTTGGCCACTTTGAAGATTTCGGTGTCTGCTTTGCTAGCTGTGGTGACGGGTGTTCATGGTACAAATGACATATCAAAGGGTAAAGCCATGATGGTATTGGTGCTATTCTGCATTTATACTGCAGGTTTTGGTTTGTCATGGGGTCCTCTCACCTGGCTAATTCCAAGTGAAATTTTCCCCTTAAAAATCAGAAGCACTGGGCAAAGCATAGCAGTGGGGGTGCAGTTCATAGCACTATTTGCTTTATCACAGACATTTTTGACAATGCTGTGTCACTTCAAGTTCGGCGCCTTCTTGTTCTATGCCGTTTGGATTGGTTTGATGACCCTTTTCATTATATTTTTCTTGCCTGAGACCAAAGGAATTTCTCTGGAGTCAATGTACATCATATGGGGCAAACACTGGTTTTGGAAAAGGTTTGTTACAGGAGTAGCTGACCAACCATAAAAATTGTTAGCAGTGGAACTCCTTTCTGTAGCTTCTGTTTCTTAGTTGATAATTCTGTAGGTTCTGCTTACAACTTCTGATATCAGAGTACTAGATACAAGCAGTAATGTATGAAACTTATACAAATTCTGTGGAGAGCAGTCGATTGTGATTTTTTGGATGAAAAAACTATATTACGTCTATGAGAAAAACGCTTAAATCCATAGTGTGACTAAATCTATTCATTGTTCTGAAGTTTGTTAAATTGAAAATTTGAGATCCTAGAGAATACCATCATACAAACAAAGGTTTGACTGGTTAATCCTAGCAAGGACTTTCCAAATAACTACATGCTTTGATTTCTTTACATGAAATGTTATTCTTAGAAATTTTTTGTTGGTAGGGAAGAAAGAATATTTGAAGTGCTTCAATTCGTTTACAAAACAAAACTATGTATAATGATGATTATAAAATATTTGTATTAGACGAAAACAAATATTTTATAATCAATCATCTTAACTCTCCAAAAAAACACCCTGCGTGAATTACTTACATGTCATTCAGTTAATGGCAATACAAAAATTTTAACCCTCCTAATAGATCCTGCCCCACCTCTACTTACATATCCATCCGTAAAATTTCAAAAGATGATCTCATATCCATTGTGAGTAAGGTTTAATGAAGTTGACCTTAGTATTGATGTTCCCATGTGAAATGCACGACTTACTATATATCTGTTAATGTTAACAATTGAGTTCATGGTCGACTTGTTTTTAACTGTGCACATTATTTTCCATGATTATCTTGATCTTCCCTTCAGCATTTTTATATGATTCAACTGCCGCTTCAACTCCTGGACTACAAGGGTCTTTCAATCCAAAGTATTCCCAACAGTATTAGTTCTGTCTCTTCAAGCTTATTTGGAATTGTTTCAAAGGCTATTAAGTCAGCTCCAGCATCAACAAGAATCTTTACTCTTCCTATGAAAATCTTTAGTGTCTGGACAGTAACAGCGTCACCATAGTCCCCAACATCTTCAGAACCATATGCCAAATGCGTTCCATAGCTTCCCACAATTTGCATCTCATTTTTCTTCTGCGCTTTCATTACATGCACATACCAATATGACTTCCGTTGGACCAATGATTTTCAGATTCCCAATAGGGATAACAGACCGCATTAATCTCCCAGCTCCTCATTGTTTGATTTGGATGTTACATGCCCATTTATGACATACAAGGTTCTATGCTCAATTTCTTCCGCAACAACCTGAGGATTCCATTCTGCATAAATTCCCTATAAGAAATGAACAAAAACAGGGCGTAACCTGTATATTTCTATCTTTGCTATTTCAATCTACTGCTAGCGATGTCTTACACATATTCTGTCATAACTGCACTCACTTGGATGTGATATCATTTCTCAGATTTTTCAACTATATAATCCATATGACATCGACCACATCATCTTTTACGAAGTAATTTGTCATAGACTTTCGAATCAGATAGCCTTTGTGTTATACTTGAAAATCAGACTACTTGCTGGACTCCTCATCACCTTTATCAACCTCTTCATTTGATTTAGACTACCCACTAAATATTTCTAGCATTTCATTAGAGAGTCAAGTTGAAATTTTGACTGTGTTTTTTAAGTGACAGTTAGGATAGCTGATTTGAACTATGTGATTATAAAGATCAGACTCGCATTTGTGATTTATTTTGTGTTTTTATTTCTTTGTTATTTAAATTTAAGAATGTTATTGATTTGATGTATTATCTAATTGCAAGTACTTGTTTGTACAATTAACCAGACTTTAAGAATGATATAGCGTGACGGACCAGATAGGTCAACTTGCAAGCTCGCGGTAAAAAAACGTGAGACGGACTAAGGTTTTGAGCTCACGAGCCTGCATACAGCCTTCGCACGCTTAGTGTGGGTTGGCCCACATAATCCTACAAGTAAACTAAACCCTGATTTGATTTTCCACACACACAAACAAACACAACATAGCAACAGTCTTAATTTCTCTTCTCTTCAAAAGCTTAGCACAACACATCTCCCAATTGGATGGTTTTAGAGGTAAAATATAACTAAATGGAAAATTAAAGTTTAAAAATAATTATGATAAAAAAGAAAAGACATCTTACAGGTTTTAAATTTAGTTTTATTTTATCCTTCTTTAAATTAGGACAACATTTATAAATGAAAATACATTAAACTCCTTCTCTTTGAT